GGAGACACCAATTTCACCTGCATAAGTAACAATATTGTCAGCGAGAAGTCGGCATCCAAAATAGTGAAGTGCAGCAACGAGACTCAACAAGAAAAAGGTATGTGCAGAGAAGTGATCATAGTTTATTAGTGTTAAATTGTCTGTAATAACGTTTTTATAAATCACAACTGGCGATGATGCAGAAGAAAAAGAGGCACGGAAAGCTGATTGGACATATAAATGGGTTCACTTAAGTATCTGGAGTTATATGAAAGATATCCACAAATGTATGTGGACGAGTGTTATTACAATGTCACCAGTCAGAGTGATCCTTTCTGCAATTACAATCTGACTTGTGAGAAACACTTGTAAAATATTAAAGAGCTCTTCCGGACATAGGCTATATACAATAGTTGACTTTTATATGATATCATATATTTATATAGTTATATTTATAATCGGCAAAAAATCCTCAAATAGGCACCTACTCTTTCTACTTCCTTAAAAATTCAAGAATCTATGAATATGCAAATGTTAATTTCTAAAGTTTTCCTGCTGGATACATGACGTCTCCTACTTCTCTGTAAAGTCCAATCTCAGTGCACGTGCACTGGTGGCTTGACATGTCTACAACACACTTGTATAAGTTGCATTATAAACCAGGATTGACTTCCAAACAATTTATTGTTGTTTGTCACAAATCATGCTTATAGGTCCCGTGTCTTTGCACATACATCATTCTGCACAGTGAAGCTCAAACATCCTATTATAGGAACAAGAAGAAGTGGGAGGGGGAATTTAATATAGCTATGATAAAAATAAAATACTTTTAATATCTTTGATTATATTTTGTACAGTATAGTTACTCATGCCATTAGGTTGTGTGATCTAAATACAATTTTGAATATTTCAAATGTTAATTCCAGATGTTTCCATTTAAATTATAATCAAAACTCAAATGTAATATACCACCAATTTAGTTCTGACTAGTAAAGATAAGGCAAATAAACAGAACTAAAACGAATAAAAGTAAAATGCAATTGTAGAGTTATGACAGCTATTAGAGAATGCACATAGAGGAAAGCATTAACAAAAACACCGTACCTGGTGTTCTTCTGCACTGTAAATGAGTGAAGTGAAATTCTAAAACTCAAAATTGTGACTCTGATTGCTGCTGTTTACTTTAAACTGTGATAATGTGCATGTGGGTTAAAACCAGTGAGATATCTTAGATCATATCTGTCACGTGAATCTTGTCACGCTGCTAAACGATATAGCAGCCTGCCATACCGGATGAGAAGACCATAGATGATGGTGATGATATTAATTAGCGTGAACATACTGTTTCAGTTTGACTTGAGATTAGATACTGTTCTGACTGGTGCTCTTTTATAGTAAAAAAGTGACATTTCTGTATTTAACCAGTTATTTGTTTTTGCACTGATTGTTTTATTGTCATTCTGTCCATTGCTGTTACTCAGTCATAATGATAACAGTGCTAATACCTATCATTTGCAGGCCCAGTAAACTTGATCCTCATCTTGGGTGTGGCAGCTGGAGGTTGCTTGATGATTGTCATTATAGTTGGAATAGCGGTGGTGTTTTGTCACTGCAAACCAAGTGAGCCAGGTAAGAAATGTTACACTGAGTTTGTCCCTTTAAAACTTTAAAATGGTGAATTTTTTTTCATGCTCTCTGAGGTTTCCATTATGTGTAATCGATTTTTGATGTTGATGTTGACTTGTTTTTTCTTTCTAACACTAGGTAGCGACTCAAATGACCTCACGGTGTACGCCGATATCACTGAAGTTGCAAGTGAAGATGTAAGTGTGCCCCACACAGATTCGATAAGAGTGCAATTCTTTTTTTTTAGGGGATCAAATGCATGTTTTACCCACTTTGCTGTTTCTCCTTTCCTCTTTCTACTATGCATTCACATTTAAACTTTCAGAACATGTCAATGAAGCCATGCTCAGTGTATGAAACCATTGACAACAGAGTCAACACAGTCACACCTGGGGTAAGAGCAAAACTTTTATTTTTAAGTTTCTAGCAGGTGAGACTGAATTAGACCCTGTAATTTGAGTTTACAATATACTACTACTACAACAACAGCTAAAGCATGTGGCTACAGTGTACTTTTACCTCCTTTATATTGATTATATGAGACATTTTTAGTATATTATGATTACTTTTATTGAAGGGTAAAAAGTGCCAGGAACATTATTGAAAAAAAGTAACTCTTATACTAATGGAATAACTGCTGACACAAATGGCTTTTGGACATTTCTTCCTTATATTGCAAAACACAAAGTGGTAGTGTGTGAATTATTGTTAAAATGTGTCTTTTCTACATCCTTTTTCCACACATGTAGCCACAGACTGTGTACGATAAGATCCAGCTGAGTCGTGTGAGGAAGGCGTCGGTGTCGCCCTACCAAGAAATCTCCTAAAGGGTCACAGCACAATGTAAAGCTTGAGATGTTTGATACTTTGCCAGAAAAAAACATTTGGAATTGGTACAAAAAAAAACAGCACTTGTAACTGTTCTACTGTTGGCCTCGACAGATTGCACCTTCCTTTTATTGTATTAAAGAACAAAAACTCTCACTTCGAGGGCCCAGGCAGTAGCCATTTTAAATAACAATTTTGTAAATTCTGTAAATACAGAGATTATATTTAAATATTTTTTAAATGTTTTGTGTGTTTTGTATGTCCCCTAATAAGTACTGTACTATGCAAATCCTTTGTGGATGTCATTCCTGACACCTGCTTAACAATGTTTCATCCCGTGCAAAGGTCATATTAAATTCCATTTACCATCATTACTGCAACAGAGTATTTTTGTATTTTTTCTTGTATCAAATGTATCAAACTAGCAGAAATAATATAATGTATGTTAATGTTATGACATGCAACATTAGATGCATACAAATGCATCACCGTTAGCATCTCAACTTCCAGCTACACTGATATTGTTTTCTAACTTTGCTAGCTGGGTTGACCGATAACAAATCATACTCATTATTTTAACTGTTGCACTTTAAAGAGTTTTTACGCATTCAATTCAATTTCACACATCATTGCAGGAAAACCTGAGCATTAATAGTATCTAATAATCTCAGACCAGAGCTGTGATGTGCAAGAAAGACAATAATACTGATAGAGGACAGGCTCAGTTTTGTACAGTGGTTAACTTATAACACCTCCACTTCCTCTCTCACTGACACTTCGGCTGTGGCTCAGACGGCAGGTCATCCACTAATCGGAAGGTTGTTGTCGGAAGACTAAAAAGGCGCTATACAAGCACAGGTCCATTTACCATTACTTCACTCTAACGCTCAAGGCTCCACCCAGTTTCATTTACAATACTCTCACATCTACTTTTGAAGTGTGTTAAGGGGAACTTCTAGAAATGTGACAAATGTGCTACACATATAAAACTGTATCAAAATTGTTGTGATTACTACTCATATTACCTGCAACAGTGCCATGTTGGTGAAAACAATTTGATAAACTTCATTTTTGCCTTTAACTAGTTTGACAGTAATAGTAAGGTGTTACTGTTCCTGGTGACCACATAAATGTAATCACAGTACTTCTGTTAAATGCTACATTACATTTCACACTCCTTACAATGACACTTGACAATAGTTACAACACACTGATATAAAGTAATATCTCTATCTATACAAAAGGTAGCTAACTGAATGCTGCTTGCCTTCTACGTGTGTAGGAGAAAACATGTGAAAGGCCTTATGAGCCAGTGTTTGGTTTGTCCATTCTGGGCTACTGTAGAAACATGGTGTTTCAAATTGTCTAAGGCAACCCACTCCCTCAGTAAATAAAAACAGCTCATTCTAAGGTAAGAGAAACATAGAAATTATTTATTTTCAGGTGATTAAAAAAATACAATACGTAAAAAAAAAAATACACATACAATGTAAATCGGTATGTGTGCGTGTAAATATATATAAAAATACACACATATATTATCATTTACATATGTTTCTCTAAAAAATACATTCATTTCGTTCATTGCATTTTTCATTTTCACATTAAATACATATACAACAATTGTTTACAGTTTATTTTATTTAGAAAATGAATATGGTACACAAAATTTACTGAGTAAGGAACGAGTGGAGAATGACCAGACAATGACTGAATCATCAATAAGAAGTTAGTGCATAATTCTGAATGGAGGTCTATATAGTGGATGGTGATTTATTAAAGCACTGACTGGGAGATACTATTTTAAGGAATCATCAGATAATGATTACTTCATAAATATCGAGCATTTTCTTTGTGTGTAATTCCTGATTAACTCTGAACCAGCTGCTGAGTGGCACAAAACTATTAACGACTAATAACTTATTCATCAATCTCTTTTTGTGCCCCCTCAGGAGAAGTATTTATAAAGTATGACAATAACTACAGAGTTTTTACTGGTGAATTAAAAAAATTCTGAATCACAATCGGGTTTATTGCCAAGGAAGTTTTTACTTTTGAAATATAAATATAGAAAGATCTGAAGCAGTACAAGAATGATATTTATAATGATTCTCTAGCTACCTGTCATATACTCCCCCTGTTTTAGTAATTCACTACCTACTTATTAATGATTAATTAATAAGTAATTAAGGTTGTTCCTGATTCATACATGTACCGTATATTGTAAAGTGTTAATATCACAAGTGCATGTTTTTAACTTTACCAGTACTACACACCATGCACTTATGCAGGCATCTTCAGACATGATGTTGTCCTCCTGGAAACTTTTATGCTGGTTCGTCATGCTTATTCTAGGAAGGACAGAGAAACTTTGTCATTTCTCAGAATTGTGACATTGTGGTACCATTCATTGCTACAAACGGACAGTCAAAACGGACACAGAAGCTTACCTTCAGTTGATGGGTTTTATTTGGCTGAAAACAGTTTTCCTGGAAAATAAACAAGAATACAAATGAATTTTTGCAACGGTGACCATTTCAATCTGAACACGACTATATGAAGAACATACCTCGGACGTATTCCCATGCACGTTTGATTTGTTCTTTAAAAAAAAACAATACAAAACAAAAACATGTCAGCAGGTTATATTAATTGCTTGAGAACTAAACAGTCTTTATTATTACTACAATAGAACGAGAGAGAGTGGTCCCAAGCCTTTGCCAAAAATGTGCTATAGCTTTCCCAGATCCCTACTTTGTTGTACTTTGTGTGATTCTTTCTAATCCAAAAATGTATTATAGCACCCACAAGTCTCATAATTTGGTATGAAACCTATTAATTTATTTATTCTGAGCCAAAATAACAAATGCTGGTGTTCTTATCTTGAAATTGATTATAGCACCTCAAATCTCCAAGTTTTGTATAGCTCCTCCAGAAAATTTAGACTGTTGACATAGGCGGTTCTTATAAGTTGTTTGTAAAACTGTTGACAAGACCATCGAATGTGAAAAATGTTAACTGATGTGCTTTGTATTGCGCATTTAAAGGCATGAAGGTTGTCAACGTTTGTAAAAATCCTCCAGCACAAATTTGTCATTTGCAGGAAAACCAGAGATGAGATACATGCAGTTTGAGCCTAAAGTGTGAAAGGGATAATGGCCAACGAGGTGTCAATTTTCAGGAAGTAGTGGATGACGTGAAGGAATGACACTGTTCCCAAATCAATATCAAGATTTTCACAAACAAATGATAGGCCATGTGTACTGGCCGGTGCATCCTGAACTAGTGAGTTGAACAGCGAATGGGATGCGAGATGATCGCTTGCCTTATCCATGAGTTCAGAGGGGCAGTACAGGGGCTTGTGTGTTACAGACGCCATCCTGTGGTGTTCGGAGGATATAGAACTTAAGGACTGATGCTTTGGCTCAGTGTTGTGAGATATGTTTTCAAGATATTCAGGTTTTGTTTTCATTAAATGTATTTCAGAGCAATAATTTAGAGTGGTGAACAGTTTCACTCCAACGACTTCCACAACTATCAGGTAATAATAGACACCCAGCAGCCAATCAGAATCATTGAAGTATTCACTCAGATCATGGTATAACTCTATTCAATTAATATTCTTGCAGTTGTTGTTAATATTGTTGTTGCTTAATGTCAAAATAGTCAATAAAAGTAATTTAATGTAGCAGTTAAGCAAGATTCAATGCTTCTTTACTAGATTAAATAATATAATAAAAAAGTTAAAAAGTTTGAAAATGCTAAAGCTGTATGCTACCTCCACTGTGCATCTTTGAGCAAGCTCAAATGAGATTGTGACCTACTTTTGGAGTAAGAGGACAAAGAAGAATTTTTATACAAGGATAATGTTTTGCTCTCACCTTTGAGACAGTATATCAAAATGACTAGCATTAAAACTGTAAGCATGCCTCCAGTGAAGTAAGCTAAATGTCTACACCTGCACGGAATTGACACTGGCAGAGGTGAAGGCCCAGGCTGAGGCTTGCCATCTGAAACAACATGGAGGAGACAACAACATAATTAGGATAACTTGTTGAATTTAACCTGTTACAGCCCTTGTATCTCAACATAGTGTTATGTACGAATGTTCATTTAAGTCTATTGTGTCCTTACCATCACACTTTAAAGTGATGTCACTTGAGGTTTGGTCCGTAGCCCTTCTGGAGATGCAGGTGAATTTCACATGTGTGGTGTTGGTGTTGATATATGCTAAAAGTGCTGCAGAGTTGCTAGAGTTGCTCATGGAAAAGACATTCACATTGGGAGGTTCGACCTTCCAGGACAAGTCAACACCTATCTCAGGTGAAGAACAAATCAGTCCCACCCAGCAGCCTCCGTTTATAGGTGTTTTAGTGACGTTCTGTATACCCGGTTTCTGGGGGAGTACTGCAAAAGTTTAAATTGGAAATATTGATTAGATGTAAGGATATGTTCTCTCTAAATACCTCACTACTTAGCAGCATTGGACTGAAGACCATTCAGCAACATATGTGTTAGCTGCTGAACATGTTGAACATGGTGAGAAAATCAGTATGCAAACATCTGAGTAAGAAAAAGCATTAAAGATAAGTGGGAAAAATAAAGTCTGTCTCATTTCATTTAGGACTGTTCTACCAAGTCAAGCTGGCTAACTTTGAAAATACAATGTGTGAAAATACTTTTGTTCACATAAGCATATTTAACCGCCTGACAAAGCCAAAATTTCAGTCAGTAAGTTAGTGACACTTACGTTTCACTATGAGCTTAACCTTTTTTACGCTGCTCTGTCCTTGAGTATTGATGAGGTTGACACTGTATTCCATGGCATCCATTGTGGTCACATTACGGATCATCAAGTCACCTAATGAATAGAGAAAAAACTGTCAAGAACAGAACAGGTACTGTCAAGAGAGAAATAAAGTAACGATCCATTTACACTGATAGGTGCTCCGTTTGTCTTACCTGAGGTGATGTTGAGTTCAAGTCTCCCTTTATACAGGTAGAACCGCTCAGTAACTTTCTTCCCACTGCGATAGGTGGCTATCCAAGTGGTGTTTGAAAATACTGACCACTCAATTTTGGAAAGGGTCCATGATGGGTTGGCCTGTGAGGGCAGGCTAACAGTATCCCCAAGGTACCCAGGGACCTCGAGGGATTCAACCAGTGCCACTGTTTTAAAAAAAAATAAAAAATAAAAAGTTTAGCAGCATCATTATACCCAGTTTCTCGGGTTTTATACAGTAATGAGCGGAAGAAAAGCAACACAATAAAAACAGCTGATTTTTGGTTACATTCAAAGATAGTCAAGACTACTAAACAATGGTTTGAGTTTCAGCTCCATCTGGTCTTTACATGTGTGTAACTGCTCACATGGAGTATTTATATAACAGAAGGGAAGGAGTCTGATCTGTGAACTTTACTTCTAAATAAGGGTAAGCATAATTGAGGAAATGTAGTCTTCCTATTCAAAGATAGGAATGGTTCACTTTTAACAGCCATGCTTAGCGTCCCTGTGAGGATGGACTTAAGCACAGGAGCATTTTACACTAAATGCTCACATAGTGAACTATTAAAAACATACAAAATATACAACATACAATAGTGCAAATGGGCTGGTAGTAGCAATTAAGTTGTAGGAATAAAGAGGACATAATTATATACATAACGTTTTTACTACTTCCTGCTTAAGTCTTTGTCATGCATGACTCAACAGACAATAAATAAACAATATGATATAGACCAATTCACTTCCTTTTGACTTTTAATCAAACCTAAGCAAGACATTTTAACTGATGAGTAAAAAAAACAAAGAGAGTATTAACATTAGGTCTATCATCAGTTTTATCCATTTTTAACCCCAGACGTCTACTTTTCGCTCTAAATTGTCATTTAAAAGTTTTTGAAAGTTTGACACAACAGCTGCTGCTGGTATTTTCATTCGATAAAAAAACAGGACCTACCTTGGAAGAAATGTAAGAGTAGAATTTGAAGCCGCATTGTTTCTGACAAATGACGGAGGAACTGACGGTAGACTTTTTGAGGGCTTCCTGTTTTTTTAAAAAAAAATTCAACAGACACCAATCACATGCTGCATGACAAACCCTTATTACAAGCTTGAATTTGGCCTGGAATAACAAGCATTTGATTACTTATCATGCATCGGCCTTCCAGGAATAACTAAATATTTTTGGTTGTATGATCAATTCTACACTCTCCTCACATTTTTTCTTATATGGAGTATTTTTTGGGTAAATATGCCATAGATTATTTCTTTCAAACATGACTGAACAATAGAAAGATCTTTTTTATTATGTAGTGTCCATATTTTGTGTTATGCCATGAAATGTTTTCTTCTTTAGTTTGTTGAATTCCAATAGCTATAGGTAAAAGTAAAAGTCTAATACATTTAGAACACAATGGAATTTTTTTACACGTCATTCTAGGTTTTCATACTCCCACTCGGTGACACTTCCTGTCTTTACTCACAAAAGATAAAAAGAAGAAGAAAAACTCGAGACAGCTATGACTCATGGGAGAAAAAACTTTGGATGAGATGATTTATTAAAATCCTTTTACATCAACTCAGTCCTCAAAAAAAAAAAAACACACAAAAAAAAAACATGGTGTAACAGTAAATAACAATCTTGCTTTTAAAGATAACTTTCTTCAGAGACAAGTGTTAGGAGCTTAAATCGAGTACAAAAAAGTGATCAATCGAAAAAAAGGAAAAATACAACCTTAGAAAACGGCATTGAAATGTAAACGTGAACTGCTTGTCAGTGGCAGAACAATCTAACTGTAGTGTATAAAAGGACATCTTTGAGCGACAAAAGACACAAATGTGCACACGTATCGATCTATGGCCAGATAAGTCTGCTGGGGGGCCCGGGTTGACCCCTAGTATGTACAGCAGCGTCATTATTTCTCCAGACACTCAGGAAACCAACTAGTACTCTGTGGAGCGATTAATCAGTTAGTTCAACAGAAAAGCAACCATTTTAATAATGATGAGTTTTTAAACATTCATGAAACAGTCTCAGTTTAATACTGATGCTTCTATATGACCTACATAAACAAGACCATCAGCGAGAAGACTGGCTATTTCTATAAAGTTATTCCTAATGTCACCACCTTCCACCAGGCGGAACACTACCACTATTGTCCACAGGGACCGCCACAAACAACATAAAATTAAAAGTTTCTTGTAGCTGCTTTAAAGGACGAGTTTACACGCCAAAGTCTGTTTTGAAGTCTTGGTGACAACTGCATATGTCAAATAAGTTGTATTAAGCCTTTTGTGGCTCAAGAAGTGAAGTATGAATAAGAGTATGAAAAAATGCCTCAAGTGATGACACTCGAGTCGGCGTCACTTGGGGTTGGAGATTACAAGTTTGGAAATGGAAAAATATCTGTGGGTGTGGAGTTAAAAATAAGGGAGTTTACCAGTCCTCTGTAAGCGGTTCCTCATCTCAGCCCGAGACTCGAGGCTACATTAGCTGCTACTAGCGTAACACACCCACATATCTAATTGTGCTGTGGGCAGTCGGGTTGCATTGTGGGTAATGTAGGTTCCAG